TGGGAAAACTGAAGGGGCCGTTGAGAGAGAGGGAGAAAATCCTTATCAACCTCCCAATTCATGGGTCTCCCTTTCCCTCAGCACACTGCACGTATTGTTTGGCTGGGGGGGGGGGGCGAATTTTTTGTGGGGTTTTTTTTTGAATGTCTGTGTCGTGTTCTCCCCCAGCCCCCCCTCCTCGCTCCCCAGCTCTGACGCTGTTTTACTGTATGGAAAGATTTCATGGGGAACCCCTCCCATTTTCCCAGGCGGTCCTGGGACAATACCAGTGCTGTGCCCCTGAGCCAGGCAGGGGACAAAAGCTGGTCCTGGCTCTGGAGCTGGGGATCCTGCTGCAGGCAGGCTCTCCCCTCTTACTCCTCCCCAGCCACGGGTGCAAGGGATGGGCAAAAAATTCCTCCCCAGCAACTTCTGTGGTCCCATCTTGGTGGTGGAGGTGTCCCACCAACGTGATTCCCTTGTTGAAACCCTACTGCCACTGGGACAAAGCACCTTGCTCACCAACCACCCAGCCTGGAACCCTTCCCACCACCCTTGGGAGCAGTGCAGAGGCAGGGGAGGGACATCTACCTACCTAGCATGAAGGGACATCTTCTCTTCTCACCTACTTTTACACATTGCCCTCCTGACAACGGCTTTATGGTGGACAAGTGGCATCTTTCCACCTTTGCATACCAAAAAAAGGATTTCACTGATGTGTCCCAGGAAATAGGTGGCTAAACAATGTCTGTGAACCACCTTTCCTGGTAGACCCATCATCCACAAAGGACTGTGCCTTTTTATGGACCTGGAGCACCTCATCTATAGATCTATATGCTGAAAAAGAGTGGAAAGCTGCTGTATGAGCATTTCCCCATGGACCAGTCATTAGGAAGACTTGCATCTAGACGGACCACTTCTGCAATGTTAGCTGCTGTGGCCAGCAGTGGCTCTTGAAGGGGCCTTTGTCTCTAAAAAGGGCTCTCAGGGGACACTGGAGAAAGGGACATGAGACCCCAGTGATTCCTGAAGCAGGGATGGTCTCTTCTCCTTCCTCTTTGCCTGTCTTCAGGCAAGAGTTCAGAAAAAGGAGACAGGACCTTCTTTTAGTGCCCTGTGGGGCTCCTCTGTCTCCTGACTGGGAACCATCTCCATCAAAGCACCAGGAGGACCCCTGGTCTCTCTCTCCATACCACTTGGTGCCCAGCACCCTGTATCCTTACCCTAAAGGGAAACAAGAAGTCCCTGCCCCCATCACCTCTTTCCCACAGGGTCCACAGGAACCAGCCACCTGAAGGGACAGCAGGTAAACACTATCATGCTTCATTCTTGACCCAGCTTGGAGGTTGGCTGCAGCCAGGGGAACAAGCAGGGAGGTCTTTCTTGGCAGTGTGGAACAGAAGACCAACCCTCCTCTCCCTCCAGTTCCCCCACACCTCATATGCAGGGTCCCTGCAGCTTGAAGAAGACCCTTGCCAGAGGGGAGAAGATGCCATGAGCTTTGCAGCATCATTGACTCTGCTTCTAGAGGGCCACAGAGGGTGAGCTGCCCAACTGGCCCTGTCCATGCTGTGAGACCCCTTCTCATGACAACCACCAGTTGTCAGGTTTTCTCAGTAGCCAAAAGAAAGGCACCCACATTCCTCTCTTCCAAAGGCAAAAAGGCATCACGTGAATAAGAGTATCAGAGCCCACCTTTTTTTTCTGAAGTAGGTCATGCTGAAGAGAAGAAAGGTAGGAGGTGATGCCTGGAGAGTTTTTTCTGAGGGATGCACCTTGAAGAACCTCTGTCTGCTTGATGCCAGTGGCACACAGCCTTCCCCTGCTGCAGGAGCTGAAAATGTTCTTGAAATCCCTTAAAACTGGTTTCCTGGGTCACATCCGTTCACCTCATTCTATTTCTGAGCTTAGCACTGAAGCATCTTCAGTGGTTCTCCAACGAGGAGTTGGGACAGTAGCTGTGTTTATCACATTAACTCAGGAGGAGCTTGGAGGACCGTTAGATTTTCCATGGGTGATCTCTCATGGTGACAAGGTTGGTGTTGGTCTATGCCAGCCCCAGTGGCAAACAAAACTGAAGAAGCCAACTAGAAGAGGCATTGGGGAAGGAAAGGGAAATAGAAAAAGGAAGATGTAATGGAGAACATCCTAACCCAGTGAGTACTGAGAAGGTAGAACAGTGCAGAGCAGCAAGAACAAGGCTGAGTGAGTGTGAATGAGTCCTTCTTGTCAGGAGACCTGCCTTTCCTTGTGGAAGACCCCACATTTGCCTTCAGGAGTAGTTCAGCTCGTCGGAGGAAGCAGAGCCTGCTCGTTTTGGCAAGACCCCCTGGTGAGGAATGTGTTGTGATAAGCCCCTCAAAAGGCCTAAGGACGTTCAAACCCGTATTTGCCGCCCAGCAGCGTGGTGGATGCTCCATCCTCGGGACACCCTTGACCTCTGGCATCCCCTTCCCCACCCCACAGGCTCAGATCTGAACGAGGATGCCCTTTTGGCAGCGCCTTGACCCCGAGGTCCCAGGCCAACATGTTGCATCATGGCAGAGTCCCCGCGAGCCTGAGATGGGGACAGGGGACTCCTATGGCACAAAGACCCCCCCTCAAAGCCAACCACACGCTTGGGGTGCACACCCACCTCCTCAAACTACACCCTGGACCCTTCCAGCACCTCGTCACCCCCAAACTCCCCCGGGGTTGGATCCTGCAGGGCTGCCAGGGCACCGAGTTGCTGGCGGCTCTCCTGAAGAAGCCGGCCCGGGGGGCAAGCGGGGAACGTGCCAATGAGCCGAGGTGGGGTGGGGGGCTGCCTGCGTCCCCTCCCCACAGTCCCCAACCGACTGTCTTCTGGCTCAGAGGAGCTCTTGGCTCCACCTTCCGCCCTTCCCTCCCCCGGTGCTAAGCAGCAAAGGCAGCTAGAGGCATCCAGCCGGGGTATTAGTAAAAACCAAGCCTCCCTCTAGGAATGGCACTCGCCTGAGAGCCTCCGGGGCTGGGAGGGAGAACCAAGGGGGGGGTGCAACTAGGATACAACTCCAAGTCTTCTCAGGATCTGCCCGCTACACCGGCCACCAACGTAAGTTTTCCTACCTGAGCTTTCCCTGACTTGCTCTTGATTTTTTTTATTGGATTTCCCCAGCGAGGGTGCATGTCACCCTCTGAAACTGGAGGGTCAGCAGCCCTTGCTCTGTGTTAGCTCTTTTTCAGCTGAGCCAGAGATGGGCTTTTCTATCACTTCTTTTTTTTTATTTCTTAATTTCTTCCTTTTTTTTTTAAAAAAGGGGGTATAGAGGGGCCTTTATTCTGAGAGCATTTCTTTCTCCAAGGGGGAAGCTGCTGCACGGCAGCAGGGACTTTTAGAGGTGACTTCAGACAGAGAGAGAGAGGAGGAGTACGTGGGGCAGGCAACCCAAAGCTTTGCCTTGCCCCAAAGTCCAAGTGGGTTTGTTTGTCTCTGTCTCTGCACACGGAGGGGATGCCAGGTAGATGTGATTTTAAGTCTTTGATTTAGGAGCTGCAAGAGGAGGGTGAGGGATGGGGTGTCCCCATAGAGACACCTCCCCACAGCTGGGATCGGGGTGTTCGGGTGCAGATCTGGGGCCCGGGCTGGTTCCCTGCCTCCTGGACAGGTCCCTTTTGGTTTATTGCTGCAGTACCAGGCACCACGCTGGCCTTTCACTCTTCAAAAGACGGGGGCACTTCCCCACACCAGTTTGGTGACCGTCGCCACCGTCCCGCTCCGTGTCTCTCTCCTTTCAGGTCCCCAACCCCCCTTACCCCTCTCGCCGCAGGCCCCTCCGCACACCCCCACGTCGGCTCCAGCTGATTGCAGAGATAGGGAGCGATACCCAAATTAATCAGGGGCCCTGACCCACCCCCACCCCCATCGATCACGGGTTTTGTGGTGTGCACGGCAATCGCTCCTCTCGCGCTTTCATCGAGCGGCCCCCGTCTCGTGGGCAGCTCTTCAGAAACCTCCCAGTCCCTCTCAGATCTGGTGGTTGCTTCTCTCTTTCTCTCTTTCTCCTCCCTTTTCCTTTCTTTCCTTTGTTTTTGTCTTCTTCCCTCCCCTCCCCAGTGAGAAAAAAGGACACCGAGAAGGATCAAGAGAGGGCTTGAGAGCGACGATGGCCGATGACCAAGACCTTTCGGAGGTGGAGATGAGCCCGGTGGGTTCTGAAGACCACCACTGCCTCTCTCCAGGACCCTCCATGGCGTCGGACAACTCCCCGCACCTCACGGGCTCTGGGAACGGGGAGATGGGGAAGGTCAAGAAGGAACAGCAAGACTCGGAGGCAGACGACGACAAGTTCCCGGTGTGCATCCGCGAGGCGGTCAGCCAGGTGCTGAGCGGCTACGACTGGACCCTGGTGCCCATGCCCGTCCGGGTCAATGGGAGTAACAAGAGCAAACCCCACGTCAAGAGGCCCATGAACGCCTTCATGGTCTGGGCACAGGCTGCCCGGAGGAAACTGGCTGACCAGTACCCACACCTCCACAACGCCGAGCTCAGCAAGACCCTGGGGAAGCTCTGGAGGTAAGAGCGGGCAGGTGGAGGGGGAGGGGGAGGGCTGAGGGCTGGCAGTGTTCTGAAGGGTGGTTGTGGGGAAGGATGGAGAACGTGGGATGGAAGGGGTGTCCCTTGAGGGGACTTCCTTCCCTGCAGCAAGCTCCTCATGGGGGACACTGTTGGTGGTGGTGGCAAGAGCGGTTGGTGGAGGCGGTGAAGGGTTCCTCAGCAAACTTCAGCAGCATCCTGGGCAGCAGCCCCTCCTGCATGTTTCCCCCTAATTTTCCCTGTTGCTCCCAGCCAGGACACTCTCATCCTGGTCTTCTTCTGCCTGACTGTCAGGGGAGACCTTGTTTTCTTGGCTCACGCTCTCTGTTGGGCCAAGTTGAGCACCATGCTGAGCCCCATCCAACTTAACTCACTGGTGGCTGCCTCAAGCCTGTTTGAGCTCCAGCCCCAACACCACAGGGGCTATTTTCTGTGCAGTGCTGCGGAGCCAGGGGGAAAACTACAACCAAGGAAAAAGGGCAGGGAAAGGGAGCCACGTGGTCGGAGCCTTGATGGTCCCAGTTTTGGCGAGCCATGCAGGTGTCACGAGATGGACGAGGAGAGACCTTGCTAGAAAGGAGGGGGCTGAGGCTTAGAAAGGAACTGAGCCCTTGGGTGTTAGCTTCTCCCTCTACTACATCAGCCCATTTACCCCAACCCATCAATGCCTAGTGCAACCCAGCAAAGAGATTTCTTTGGGAAGTGAAATGCTGAGCGTGATAGGGGATGTCTCCTCTGATGTTCTTCGGTGCTTTCTTCCCTGCTGCCTTCCCTCTCCTTTACCAAGGCACTTGCTGGCAGCACAGTCCTTGACTGTGAAGTTGTGCTGGGAGGGGCAGTGGTGGTGGGGACCACATTTCAAGGTATTGTCCCTTTATTGCAAAATATTGCCAGACTTGGTAGCAACAGCCTCCCTCCAGAAATGACATTTCCCTTGAGGAGCAGAGCAGGGAAACCATCCACAGGTATTGCAACCAAAGCACAGGGAGACACAGCCCCCAGGCCACAGGCTGCCTCCCTGCTCCCATGGGATGGCTCCTGCTGCTTGGGACAAGGTCCTTAGGGACTTCCCAGGGCACCGTGTGGCCAGGGAGCGTGGCTCAGGCAAAGCTTGTGGGATCAGGCCTGGGGTAGTTGCATGCTGCTGGGTTTGCCTGGACACGTCTCCTGCGTGTCCCTAGAGCAGGCTGCAGCTTTCCACACCACATCAGCCCCTGCAGGAACCACACAGCACCAAAAGCCAGGTTATGGATGGTCAGTGTCTGGCCGCCACGCATGTCTTTGAGGGTGGGGGTAAATGCCAGTCCACAAAACTCCAGGGGAGGTGGCCCAAAGGTTACCAGGCTAGCATCCCCAAGCCTTGCCACCCTGCCAGGGAGCAGTTGGGTCTTCCTCCATTGAGGTTTCTGCTGCCCTCACCTAGGCTGTCCCCAAGGTAGAGCTCCAAGTACAACTCCAGCAGCTGGGTTTTGCTCTGGACATCTTAGTCCCAAACATGTGACAAAGGTCCCTGCAAAGGGTCCTGGCTGGTTGCACATCCCCACCCTTAGAAGGTGGCCACCCAAACCCTACAGCCCAGTCTCTTTGGAAAACATGGGTGACTTCTATTTCCACCCGGGCTGCTCTGAGCTTGCACATGGAAAGGGCCAGTTCAGCAGAGAGCTGAGCTCTGGTGAGCATGGAGACTGCCTGACCCCAGGCGTGGTGCTGGGGGGGAGCTTCTGGCTCCATCCACCTCCCCCAGTCCGTGCCCCAACACAGTGTGAGGAGTGCAGTGGATGAACTGGATGCATTAAAAAGGAAGAAGGGAGAGTTTCTGTGCTCCATAGCCACCAAATTTCACCTTGGCTGCTTTCCTTCCCCGGGGTGGAACAGGGAGCAGCTCTCAAATGGAGGCTGGCTGATGAAAATGTCGGCGTGTCTCTCAGCCAAAATGCCAGCCAGCACCACCTCCGGGGCTGAGAACAAGACTGGCACAGAGAGAAGGGCTGGAAGGCTTGGGAGGGAGCAGCAAGTTGGACCTGACGGAGAAAGCTCTGCAGCTCCCAGCGAACAGGGTGGTGGCTACAAAACCTGGGACTGGGGACACCTAAGAGAGCCCACCTGGCTGCTTTCTGCTCCCAGCCAGCCACGATTCCCAACCCCATCACTGCCCTGAGCCCCAGCACAGGGTCAGGCCCCTGGCCCACGGCACCACGCGATGCCAGGTGGCAGCAGGGGAGGCTGCAAGAGGTGGGCAGGAAGATTTTAGCCCTTCTTTCTCCTCCTGGGTGCTTGTCCCTCTCCCCTCAGCTCGGGGGTGAACATCGGGTGTCGGGGAGGGTGGCGAGGGCTCGGTTAAGCCCTTGAAGGGCTTTGCTCTGCGAGCCATAACTTCTCTGCCCGTGCGAGATTCCTTTGCATTGTGGCCTGGGGAGCGTGGGGGGCAAGAGGGGGGGAGGGCAGGAAGCAAATGAAATCCAAATCCCCCCAAATCTCCTGGCCTTTGCCTGCTCGCACCAGTTTCACTTTGCTAAAGCCGATTTGAGCTCTGATCCCAGCAGGAGGGAGGAGGGAGCAGGCAGCCTGGGGAAGGAGAAGGCAGAGAGACACAGGGAGTGGACTTGGCACCGTCCTGCTGGTGGCACTGCCCGTGTGCTGCTGTCCAGGAGAGAGGAGGTGAGGTGTAGCTCGGGCGTAGCTCAGAGGACAAGGCTCTGATTCCTGCACAGCCCTGACCATGCCATCTGGGTTCTCTGCTTCATGCCTGGGAGGCTGAGCTCTGGTCTCCAGAGGAGGCTCTACCCCGAGCTCGCCGCCATGCGGTCTGCCCCGCAGATCAAAGCTGGCTCTGCAGCCCACAGCCTCGCTCTCCCAGATGTACCCACGTAGAAAGAGACCTTTCCTTTCCAACCCCAGCATCTCACCAGCTTTAGCACCATGTGGGCTGGGAGAGCAGGGATGCCAGAGCCTGGCTGCCTCGTTGCGAAGTGTCCCAGGTTGCAAGGCTGCAGGCTTTGCCTCTGCTCACTATCTCCTGTGGATACAAAGAATTCTGCAAGGATGGTTTTGCCAAGGCAAGGTCACCTCCCAAGTCCATGATGCCTACAAGGGTTGGCCACGATGTCCCTTTGGACCCCTTGGAGCACCACAGGCTGAGGGATTAGAGCCCTCTGGGACCTGTGAGCATCGTGGATGGTGGTGGGAGGGAGACAGGAAAGCTGGTGTTGGATTCACGGTGGCTCAGTTGCTTTAATCTCCGGGATTAAGGCAGTGGAGGAATGTGGTGGTGCGGCCGCGACCTGCTCAGGCTGCCTGGAGTGAACCCAGGTCAGCACCACAACGGGCTCCAGCCCGTGCCACACACCTTCTGGCTGCCAGCCCAGGGGATGCCCAAAGAGCAGGAGGAAAGGGGGTACTCAGGAACCCACCCGTGACCTGCTGCTGGTGACGCCTCTGATCCCCTGCCAGATTTATCTGTGTGCTCCTTGAGCCATGCCCACACTCTTCATCTTCAGTTTTTCAGGCCACTTCAGGCCTTTGTGTCTTCCTCAGTGCCTACACTTAACATAACTGGTTACATTTCACTGCTGAGGGCTTCAGGGGTACCAAGGTGCCAGCACAGCCCCATCCAGGGGTAATTCTTTTGTTGGAGAGAAAATGGTGTGAACATCTCATAAAATGAGTACTTTTTGCCATTTGGGAGCCCTGCCATTGCTAAAGACCGTTGGAGCTGCAAGTCATGGGAAGACTGGTCCCTTCTGAGAGCACTGGTTTCTGCTTGGAAGCAGAATGACCTTGAATCACAAGAATATTTGAGGGGGAAAAAAATCATAAAATGGAATGGAAGCGCTTCCAGCTGAGCCGCTCCTCAAGGCTTGAGCAATGAAGTCGATCTCATCTTGGAATGCTCTGAGCCATCCTGCCCACATATTTCACCACTTCCTTCAGAAAGCCTATCTTAACTAGAGCAGCCCATGATCTGGCAGGAATACAGAGAAGGATGTTACATTTCAGCAGTGCCTTTCATCCAGAAACCAAAGCTCATCTATTTCTACAGGGCTAGCAACAGAGCAGCTAAATTTTTTACAACTGCCCAGCTCAGTTCAAGAAGAGCTGGTCCTTTGTGCCAAATTTGGGGATTGGGCTTCATCCTGTTGCATTACCCTTGTCTGAGGTGAGCAGGAGCTCCAGGGACAGCAGAATGTTCCCCCCACCCCTTCAAAATTTTGAATTCCCTTCTAGGATATTGCAAGACGCTTAAAGGCCCAGCAAGCTCCATGGGTACCGTGCAGCCCACACCAACTGCTGCCATTTGTGCTCAGTAAAGCCTCAAATGGAGCGAAGTCTATGGAAGGATGGGAAGTTTAATAGTTTGGGGAGCAGTGAGAGACATGTGGGAGGCAGCACTACAGGTAGCAAGGGTGTGTAACACTGCTTTAGCCCAAAGGATGGTCCAAACTGCCCTTAATGTTCCCCAAAGTCTTTGAAAGCAGCTTGTTCAGCCTTATTTTACACAGCTAAAAGGCTGCACTTTGCCTTAGGGCAGTGTCAGAGAGGGTGTTGGACTTACTGAGGTGGGAAGCATCACCCAGCTGGGGAAGGGGGACCCAGCTCTGGCAACAACCCGTGTCAGGGCTCAATAATGAACAAGGAAGAGGAAAAATTAACAAGGAGACTTACCCTTAACGGGGCAACGCCGACATCAGGAGCCACGTGCCGCGTCCCACGACGCTGCCTCGAGGTGTGGGTCTCGTTCTGACGTCCTCCCCCCTCTCCTCCCCCTCTTTTCTTCCCCTTTGTCCCCTCTGCAGGCTGCTGAACGAGAGCGACAAGCGGCCCTTTATCGAAGAGGCCGAGAGGCTGAGGATGCAGCACAAGAAGGATCACCCCGATTACAAGTACCAGCCCCGCCGGCGGAAAAACGGGAAGGCGGCGCAGGGCGAGGGCGAGGGGCAGGTGGAGGGGGAGGCCGGAGGGGCTGCTGCCATCCAGGCTCACTACAAGAACGCCCACTTGGACCACAGACACCCCGGTGAAGGCTCGCCCATGTCCGACGGTCATCCAGAGCACGCCTCGGGTGAGTCGTGGGTCGCTGGGAACCTGTCGAGGGGTCGCAACCGACTCGGGAGGCTCGAAAAAGATGAATTGTGGGGAAAGCGTGAGAATTTGGGCTCGCAGCTTGCTTGTGACTCAGCAAACCCTGCTGGTGTTGGTCGTAGAGGGATGTGGCTGATTTTTGTGGGTAGTTGCACCCCTCTGGTTAGGCAAGGTATCATTGCACCCTCCCTCCTTTTTTTGCCACAAGAAAAAGGTTTAGTTTTGGCTGGCTGTTTTTCTCTCCCTCCCACGACGTCGCCAACTGGACAGCTGCTGGCAAACTGGGAGCAGCAGAACTGGGCTGTGCGTGAAGCCAGGCACAAAGCAATAACTCACCCATCCTCTCTCTTTCCTCCTCAAAACGTTCTTCCCGCTGCAGGTCAGAGCCACGGGCCCCCCACCCCTCCTACCACCCCGAAGACCGAGCTGCAGGCGGGCAAAGCCG